TGCAGTTTTATCTGGGAAGATGCGTGGTATTATTTTGATCTGTTAAAATTTGTTCATGCTTGATTTATGTCCAAGAATGTGCTCAATCTTGTGGTGTGTTTCATGTACTGACTAATAGAGTGTATACTATGCATCAAGTTGAAGTTCCAGATTTCTTTACTGGATTTTTGCTTCAATAATCTACCTAAAGCTGTTAGTGAGGTATTTAGGTCTCCAATTATGATTGTTTGAGAGTCAATGTTCTCTCTTAGTTTTTTAGAAGTGGCTTTAAAAAACATGGTGTCCTGTGTTGGGTGTATATATATTTGGGATGAATATTTCCAGTTTGTGGATTGAGACTTTTATTATCATGAAGTGTCTTTCTGCATCTTTTTAAACTTTTGATGGTTAAAGACTGCTTTGTTTGATTCAGAATAGCTACACTGCCCTCTTCAGATGTCTGATCACCTGAAAGATGGATTTCCAGCTTCCAACTTTGAGTTTGTGGGTGTCCTTTGCAGTTAGATGAATTTTCTGGGAGTAGCAGACTGTTGGATCATGCTTCTTTATCCAGCTTGCCAAGCTATGTCTTTTTAGTGATGCATTTAGACCATTCACGTTCACACCTATTATTGAAATGTGAGACTCTATGACTGTCATAGGGCTTTTAGGAGATTGCTTCATTTCCTTTTTACTTTTGTATTTGTGTGTGTATTTTCATTGTTGTGAATACACTGTGTGCTCTGTTAACTCTGTGCTTGCCTGTATTTTTGTGGTGGGTATGACTGTTCTTTTTTCCAATGCTCAACACCTTCTTAAGAGTCTTCTGAAGGGCTGGTCTAGAGGTGGCATATTTTCTTAGGGATTGGATGCCTGGGAATGATTTTAATTCCCCATCACTGATGAAGCTTAGCTCAGCAGGGTAGGAAATTCTTGGCTGGAATTGCTTATCTTTAAGAAAGTTAAAAATTGAACTCCAGTTCCTTCTGGTTTGTAGTGTTTCTATAGATAAGTCTAGGGCAATTCTAATGGGTTTTCCCTGGAAGGTAGTCTGACCTTTCTCTCTTGCTGCCTTTAGAATTTTTTCTTTCATGCTTATTGTTTGGATGCAGATTACTATGTGCCTTGGGGCGGTCTCCTCATATAATACCTTGAAGAAGTTCTCTGAATCTCTTGTGCTTGAGTGGTCATCTTTCTGGTTAGATGTGAGAAGTTTTCTTGAATAACCTTAAGGAATGCTTGTTCCATGATGTTTTCCATTTCCCTTTCTGCTTCAGGGATATCAATCACATGTAGATTCGGCTCCTTGACAAAGTGCCACATTTCTTGGAGACTTTACTACTTCTTTTCAAGCTTTTATTTTATGTTTTTGGCAGACTGGGTTAATTACATATTTTGGTCCTCAATCTCTGAGATTCTTTCCTCTGCCATGTTGACCCTACTACTTATGCTTCTTAGTGTGTTCTTGATTTCCAGGATGAAGTTTTTTACTTCCATTATTTCAGAGCAGGCTTTTTGAAATTGTTTACCTCCTCTTTTACTTCCTGTATGACTTCAGTGAGTTTTGCTTAGTTTCTCTTAGTTCTTGATCACTTTTGCCATCCAACCTTTTAATTCTGTAGCTGTCATCTGAGACAGGTCATTCGGGAAGTGTGTGTTCCATTGTTTGTGCTCTCACAGCTGCATTTGTAGACATTGTCTCTTTAGGACTCTGAGGGTTGCCTGTATTATTTCATTGATTTTTCCTTATTGGTGACAAGACTTTCTTGCCTCTTTATATTTTCTCTTTTGATTTAAAGCTCTGAAGCTATTCAATTACCTTATGTTCTAGAGCCCTGTCTGTGGCTCAAATACGTCACTCAGTGAGAAAGTGAGGGACATTCACATCTACTCCTTGCCTCACCTTGTGGCAGGATTTCATCATTGCTGAACTTCTCATGGGCTGCTGAACTTGTCAGACCAGCTTTCAGCCCCTGTTGCTAGAGAGTCCTCAGGTGTCTGTCTAATCTCTCCCTCCCTGTTCAGGTCCACAGTATGCTCTTAAAATAGAGTGGGTTTTGGCTGCTGAGGGGGTGGCAGTCATTGCCCTGCCAGTACATAGGGCTTGAGGGATCTCTTCCCAGTCTGACTTGGGGAGTCGACCAGGTACTGGCAGTGCACATCTGCCAGGTCCACTCTTGAGGGCCCTCCCTGCCCATGAGTCACCAGTTCAGTGGAAAACTGTGCTCATGGTCACTCTGCTGGGCTGCCCTGCCTGCAGGCAAGCCCTGCCTGCCCATGAGTCACCAATTTGGCAAAAAGCCACACTCATGGTGGCTGCCCCCACATGGGTCTTTCTCCCATTCCACTTGGTCTGTGGTTGCTCAAAGTCCTATGCCCTGCCAGGGATTCCTCCCAAATTAGGCTTAGGGTTAGCATTAGGGTTAGACTGATGACTAACGACCATCTGGTAGGGGATGAACCATCACAAAGCTTCTTTGGCTCCCTCACCTACTTTCCTTTGCTGGGCAGAGCTTCAGTCCTTGTACTAGCCTCAGCACAGTGAGGGATGGGTGCCCAAATTCCCACATCTGCCTTCACTTTCTGGTCTCTGTGTGTTCAAAAAGACCCTTGCTGGGGGCAGGGTTTGGTACCTTGCTAAAAATGCTCAGGATGTTTCTGTTTATTGGCAGCTGGGTCTCTACTTTCTGCCTTGCTCAGCGAGAGTGGCTCTGATTTGCTGCTCTATGGTGGCCATCTTGTATGCTCTCCTCTATCCTATTTTAATATGTATATCTCATTTCTGTCAAGTAACAAAATCATCATATTTTTCAAATAACCATATTAATGTCTTTGGTAGATATCCACATTGTAAGTATCCCTCTTTGTCTATTGAATAGATTTTTGTGTTTAACTGGATATAGGAGTGTATACTGGATTGATATTTACCATCCCACAGAGTTTAGCATAGAGCACTTGAAATATGGCTAGTACGGTGGAGAGTCTGAATTTAAAGTTTACATAATATTTTAAACTATTAATTGAAACACTGTGAATATTTTGTTAAACTCAGCTTTGGGTAGAACTTTGTTTTACTTTAACTGCCAAATTGCTAAAATATATTGTTTTATGGCAAAAGGGTTGAGATTAGACATCCTTATCTCTAATGTCAAAAATAAATACATCACTAATCTAGCTCATGTTAATGGATTTAGTCCATTGAAATAGCCTTTTTCTATGTACAAATGTAACATTGTAATCTGTTCATTTGAACATTTTATGCAAATGGCATGACATAGTGATGTCTAAGCAAATTACAATTGATAATACTTATAACTAGATTGAATATAGTAAGTATATTTTAAAAATTAAAGGCATAGTACTGATGCAAAATTGAGATATAGATATTAATACTACAGTGGAATGGTGAAACTAAGATACTGGAAGAAAGTATGTTGCAAATCATTTGCACCAAAGAAAACAAGTTATCTGTTATAGTAAAAAAAAAAAAAATGTTAAGAAATAAAGAGAAAAACATTAAGAGATAATTTTTTTTTTTTTTTGAGTTGGAGTCTCACTCTATGACCCAGACTGGGGTGCAGTGGCCACTCCCGGCCACTACAGCCTCGACCTGCTGGACTCCGGTGATCCTTCCGCCTCAGCCTTCCAAGTAGCTGGAACTACAGGCGTGCGCTACCACACCCGGCTAATTTTTTATTTTTATTGTAGAGATGAGGTCTTGCCAAGTTGCCCTGGAGGGTCTCGAACCCACAGGCTCAGGCAATCCACTCACCTCAGCCTCCCAAAGGCACGGGATTACAGGCTGAGTCACCGAGCCCAGCTTGAGAGATAATTTTAACCAATACTTGGTAAATTTGGTAAGTTTTCTCTCACCAATCAAAAACAACCAAAGAGATTAAAATCTTTAAACAATTTTTAACAGAACCTGAGCATATAAATTTGAAGAAACTTTCATTATTGCACAAAAATGCCATTTTAAATGAACTAGTATATTAACTTATTATTTTTATTATTGAAATTAAGTCAGAAATTAGAAGTAACAGACTAAAAAGGATAGTTTGCAAATAATGATCTTCAATTAGCTACAAAACAATTGATGGCAGAATACAAGCTTTTTTTTTATTGGTAGTAAAGGTCAACTGGTTCAAACATTTAAAATTCATAAGTACTTTTCTTTAGTTTTATATTAACAATGCAATAAAAGAAAAACTGCCCAATGAATATCTTGAATTATCTTCAATACTTCCAAATTTACTAAGAAATATTGTAAATCTGCAGCATGAAATATAAAATTTGTGACATGATTTTTTGATATTTTATCTGTCAAGAAAGCATTTCAGCTTGATAAAGACAAAATTAATTTCTATCATGACAGATGGTACTCTTTCTGTGTTAGGCCAAAAATTAAGATTTATTGGAATTTCAAAACAAGAGACTATTGTCCCCTTTCTAATTTTATTCCACTGTATGGTCCTAATTGAATATATCTGTGCTCAGTTTTCTGAAGCAGATGCTTAGAAAAGTGCCAAGAATGTAATGGTTAAAAATTTTTCATTGTGTATGTGAAAATCTTGTGAATCATCACCAGCTTGTGGAATTGTTTAGATAAATAGAAGATAATTAATTTAATATTACTCTGATTTTCATAGTACTTGCATGTAAGGTTTCACATTATTTTACATATCATAAACGTGACAATGACCTGACTGACAGGCACAATAGGAAAAAATCAAAGAAGAGTGTTAGCATTGGTAGAGGATTCGAGGTAAGAAAAGAGTGGCATTCCCTATCAGTGGAACAGTTTTTTAACCTTATGTTGCCACTTGCTCAGGCAAAATCTAATTTAAGTAATAATTATTTTATTTTTTCAAGACACTAATGTTCTTATATTTTTAAGCCCATTTATATTCCATTGACCTCCCTCAAGTGTTTTGGAGATGCACGCCTGCCTGACTACTGAAGGTAATCACTGATAACAGTCCCAGAATTTCCTCTTTACTGGATGAATATACCAAGTTAACTTAATAAGTTGATGAGCATTTGTCCAGGTATGCTATATTTGTGTGAAAATAAAACCACATCTCAGCTTTCTTCACTTTGCTCTGGTATTTCTTCAAATAGTCTTTATTGATCATGACCATGATTAGGCTAGGAATTTGGAATATGATAGCTAAAAAGACAAAAGTGATGATCATTGGAATTTTATTCTTGTAGGAGAAAGGCACACTATATTTCAATACAGTCATGTGTTGTTTAATGATGGGAACATGATCTGATAAATGAGTCCTAAGGCAATTTTGTCATTGTGTTAGTATCTTAGTGCACTCACACAAACTTAGTACAGTATATTGCATACCTAGGCTATATGGTATATTGCTTTTATACTACAGTCTTGCACATGTGACTTTCCTGAGTACTGTAGATAATTGTAACAAAGTGGCATTTGTGTATCTAAACATAAAAGACACAGTAAAAATACTATATTAAAAATAAAAAATAGACCACCTAACAGAGTTCTTACCATGAAAGGAGCTTGAAAAAATAAAAGTTGCTCTGGGTGAATCAGTGAGTGAGTTTTGAGAGAATGTGAAGACCTAGGACATTATTGTACGTTAGTGTAGACTTGATAAACACTGCACATTTAGGCTACATTAAATTTATTAAAAATATTTTTATTTCTTCAGTAATATATTAACCTTAGCTTACTGTAACTTTTCTTTAAAACTTTTAAATTTCTTTGATTTTTGACTGTTGTAATAACATTTAGCTTAAAACACAAACACATTTTACAGCTGTACAAAAATATTTTCCTTTTTTATATGCTTATCCTATAAGCTTTGATCTATTAATTTTTTTCTTCTGGTTTTTAAACTTTTTTGTTAAAAACTGAGACACAAATACACACATTACTCTAGGACTACACAGAGTCAAGATGATCAATTTACTATCTTCCACCTCCACAAACTGTGCCACTGGAAGGTCTTCGGGGGCAACCACATGCATGGAGCTGTTATCTCCTATGATAACAATACCTCCTGCTGGAATCCCTCCTAAAGGACCTGCCTGAGCGTGTTTACAGTTAACTTTTACTTTGTTAATAAGTAGAAGTACATTCTATAATAATGGTAAAAAGTATCACATAGTAGGTACATATGCCAGTAACTATTGTTTATTATCAAGTATTATGTGCTGTATACAAATGTATGTACTAGATTTTTATTTATTTTTATTTTTTATTTTTTTTTAATGTTCAAAACACATTTATTTACTAAATCACTTAAGGCTGACATATGATATAATTTCAGCAAATAAAGTGTTTAATGAAAAATTGTGGTATACAATGTACTTATCTTTAGGAAAAAAGTCTTATTTACAAGCTGAAGAACAAAGGTAATTCTTTTAATAAATGTAAGTTTTAAAAAAACATTCATTTTGCAGTACTATCATGACAAAAGTGAATTTTCTAAGAACAGCTAGGTATCCAGTGAAGCATTAAGAGGTGAACTCTTTTGTCAATTATATTTTTGGGGGGCCAGCCCCCGGAAAGAGATTTAGAAGGTCCCTTGGAAGGTGTGACAGCGTCAGTGATTCATAGGGATAGATATTAAAAGAAAGAAAGAGACTGGGGGAGAAAGAAAAAAGCTGGACTCTGTCTAGTGCAGAAGCCATTTATTGGGAGTTTACAGCATGTATTTATCCCCAAATTTTATACGGGCAGTCTTACAAGTCTTTCACGTGAACACAAAGCTAGGTGCAGGAGGGGTGCCCCCCCCCCACCAGGTGTTTCCTCAGGCATGAGGAAGAACAATCCCAATTAAATCACAAAACCTTTACATGAACACAAAGCCAGATGAATGAGGGGCATTCCCTCACCCACCAGGTGTTTCCTGGATTAAGAGGAAGGGCAATCCCAATTAAATCACAAGACATTTACATGAACATAGAGCCAGGTGGATGAGGGGCGTCCCCCACCCACCACGTGTTTCCCCAAGCATGACAAATGGAGATCCCAAAACTATCTCACTGTTCCTCATGCTTGGTTAATATTTCTTAAAAGCAATACAGCAATTCTAATATAATATTCTAATAATCAATAACTTTTAAAACCTATGCATACACAACACCCAATAACCAACCTAAATCCCAATTCCTCTCTATTTTGTGCTAATTCTACCTACACTATAGAAACTCTTAATTATAGCCCAAACTAATTCCTAAGGAATGCGGCTCAGTCAAAAGATCATGCTGGGCCATTTCTGGCAACAATTGATTAGAATCTCTTAACAAAATGGCTGTTCTGAAATCCTATAAATCTATTTTAACTTTTATAAAAGTTTCTAATTCCTAATCCTGATCATCAGCAATAAAGCTTCTAAAAAATAAAACCCAAGTATAAACTGTAAATTGTATTAAAGCCCAAACTGCAAATGTAGAAGATGGAAACAATGTAATTTCTAAGTTATCTATATTCTTATTAAACCTCAAAATATCATGTTTGATCATACTTGAACTGACATAATTCACTGACATAGCATAACCTATTCTACAATACTTTCTATGAATAAAATAAATTCAATTTCTATAATAAGTAGAAAAAAACCTTATACTAACTGTAGCTAAAACCCGGTTTAAAAGAAAGCAGCCTAGTCCAAAGTATGCGCTGGGCCCTTAGGAATGTGACCCAGCCCAAAGTTCTTGCTGGGCCTTTAGGAATGTGGCCCAGCCCAAGGATTGTGCTGGGCCATTTCTAGTAGCTCTAGATATTTATCTGTATTATTAAGGTTGAAACAGCACTTTGTATGTATATACTAATTCTACAAATATACTATTAAATCTTAAAAGAAGCTTGTACTGTATTAAAGGCTCCCAAATGTGACCTGAGTTTGAATTATGTTAAGTTTAAAGCCGAAACAGCAGTCTGTGAGAAACGGGAACAATGGACTCCCAAAGTAAGCCATGCCTGTCGTGCTCTCAGAACTTCATGCTTAGATCATTAAAGTCCCTGCTAGTGGAACATACCAAACAACAAAGAAGGGAAGAGGGAATGGGCCTTCAGCTCCTGAACTCATCCTAGTGGTCTCAGAGTCCGAAGCCTGCCTGGATCCCTAATGCTCAGGCGGGCCTCCACAGCCAGCTCCCAACACATATTCAGAAAATCTAATGTGCTTACTTGCTTGTTGAGTCTTTTCCAGTCTAATCTTTTCAGCTTTGGTGATTAACTTTTCAGTGCCCTTTTTTCTTTTCCTGAGACTGATTAAGTTTGGCCTATCAACCAAAATTTTCTGCCAATACCTTTGTTTGTGATCACCAGAAAGGATCTTGAGTTTCCAGTAGTGTTTCTTTTTAATTTCTGCATATGAATTTATTACTGCTTGAGCATCCTCAGGTGTTTTAAATCTAGCATGGCATTCTATATCTCCTTTGAGCACATCAACATAAACAACTTCTGAGATTGCTGCCAAAGTATCCTGGACTAGTTTTCTGCCAGGTAGAGGCTCTGTGTTAATGATCTTCACAATCACTCCACTCACAAACTGAGGTCCTGTGGCATTAACTTTCTCCTGGGAGTGACATTCTTCATTGTTGGCTTTACTTTTTTTCATTTTTTGCTGCAGACTGATGAGGTATTCCATTGTCTATTTCTATCTCTGACTCTGATTTTATTTGGGATATTGTTTTTTTTAAAGAAGCCATGCTAGCTTTTTGCAGTGCTAAGTATTCCTTTTTCAAATCCATCCATTCGCTCTTTGACAGTACTCTTAATGGTATAACCTCTTCTCCTATTTTATGTCTCTCTTTATGTTTTTTTCTTATGTTTCCTTTTTGTTTTTAACAGAGACCCATCTTTTATATCTCCAGTATTCTTTTCCTCTTCAGTAGAGACTTCTAAGTCTCTGCTTTCTTTGGAGACTTCCGAAGCTTCTTTTTTAATGACTTCTTTCTGAGTCATTTTCTTTACTTTTGACCTGGGAGCGAGGCATTCTGCATCTTCAAAGCTACTTCTCTTCCTCTTTCCTGTTCGGACTTCAGGTAAGCTAGATACTTCACCTCTTTCCTGTTTTTTCTTTTTTCTTTTGATTGCTTTTGGGGTTAAGTAGTTTCTGCCCTCAGATGTGGTTCTTGACCTTTTTACTTTATAGGCGTTTGTGTTGCTTGTGTCCATGCTTACCTCTTTGGCCTGAACATTGTCTTCCTTCTTCAGTTGGCCTTTCTTCTTTTTTTTCTTTTTCTTCTCTTCAGTTACCCTTAGAGCCAGAATGGGTTTATTTTTTACTGTTTTAGGGAATATGCCAGGTTTTCTTGGTGCTTCTTCTGGTGGGTTGTTAAGAAACTCAATAGCTTTTGCTGCTTGTTCTTTTGTTTTAAATTCCACAAAGGCAAATCCCTTTGGATCTCCAGGAGGCTTATAATGTGGTAGACTTATATACACAACATTGCCACATTTCCCAAATACTCTTTCAAGCCAGCTGTGGTTAACATTTTTGGGAAGTGACTCCATAATCACAGTGCGCTCATCTTCATCCTTTCGTCTTTCACCCAGAGGCTTTTTTTCTCCTGATTCTGGTGCTTCTAAGTCCAGCTCTACAACAGCTGAGCTTTTCAGTGCTCTGGCTATTAACTTCCCATCAGTAGTCAATTTTTTCATTTTGTTAAAAGACACGAGAAGTGATATATCCACATATCTATCTCTAAATTTTTCCATCTGCTCTCGAAGAAATCTATCCTTGTGAAGATTTGCATCTCCAAAACGGAAGTCCACTTGTTTAGCAATATCAGCAAGCACCTGTTTAACTCGAGATAGTTTCTTTTTTTCTTCTTTTTTCTTTTTCCATTCAATTCTCAAAATACAGGGTCAGGTACTGCGTTCTGTACTAGATTTTTACATGACAGGCAGCACAGTAGTCTTGCTCACACCAGCATCACCACAAACACATGAGTAACACATTGCACTAAGACCTTACAATCTCTATGACACCACTAGACAATAGGTGAAATTGCAGTTTTTTAGCACTATTATAATCTCATGGAACCACTGTGGTATAGTTGTTATGCACTTTGTCATTGGTTGAAATATTGTTATGTACCTTATGACTGTACTCAAGCAAATACATAACCATAAAAAGTGGAGTGCTCATCAAGAGGATCTAACCTTGTCTTGACAAAGACTTCAATGAGAATTATTTTTAACAGATGAACAGAACTTAATCCTTTGAAAAATAATAGTAAGGGTTGAAGATGGAATAGTCTTCTAGACATAGGGAAAGGCATTTCCACATTTTCTCTCCTAGTTATTTAGTGAGATGGTAAAAAGGGAGGTGGTATAGTATTGAATAGCTTTTATTGGATTTAAATAGATAAAGGGATTGTGCTGTCTCAGATTTCCAAGAAGAAACAGCCAGTAAAGTCATTAATTAGAGGCCTTTTCCTTCTGCATACACTTTTAATCTAAGGTCAACTTCACACACTTTTGAAAACGATAATTTATAGTAAGATCTCTAGCATCCAAATTTAATTTGTATTTTAAAGAGCCAAATTCTGAGTAGAAAATGACCACATATATTTCAGACCTAAAGGATCCAGACTAAAGAAAAATTGCTACACTCAGTTTCTCATATTTTACAGGAATAATTTCAAATTCATGTAACATTTTTTCCTACAAAACACTGTCTAGTTACTATTTTCAGAGAAGGACTATCCCTGACATGATAAAGGCTTTCATTTGTTAGGAAGTCTCTGCAAAATTAACAGGAAATATATATAAATAAAATGATCAACAAAGTATCTTAGAGATGAAACAGAAAATGTTACTTCATTTTTATTCAAATAGTTACTAAGAATAAATTGATGGTGTGAGTGCAGAGTATTCTGAAGAATATGGGAGAAAGAGTACAGCATAACTTAAAACACTTATTGCTGTTTATAACAGAGTTAAAAATTTAAGGGATGTCTATTATTTACTCTCCTTAGTAATCTTCTACATTTAAATGGCCAATTTTTCTCCGTAAGTCAGAATATAGCAGTCATTTTTAGATACAAATCTTCAATTTATAAAGGAGAATAAATGATATTTCTACATATAAAAGGGAATCATTTTCCACAAGAGAACAGGAAATTAACACATTCAATAAATAACATGCTTTATAAAATAAAGATTTCATGGAAATATTTAAAGTATAGTATCAGCAGAATTATATCAGGTAATTTGAATATTCAACTCTAATCTAGACAGATAAGCACACGTCAGGTACAATTCCATGTGTCAAAGTAGAAATCTCTACTTCTTTTTATTTATTTTTATTTGTTTATTTTTATTTTTTAATATATATTGTTTATTTCAAAATTGTGGGGTACAGTTAAGGGTTAGATATACAAATATTCATTGTGCAGTTACCCTTGTTGATGAGGTGTGCCCCCCTTTCCCCAGGCAGATATTGACTACAGTTAATCCCACCTCTCTTCCCGTCCCTGTCCCCCCCATAGTTTCCCGCCACTGTCAATCCTTTTCTTACAGTATTACAGTAGTTGTTCAAGGTCCACTTATGAGTGAGAACATGTGATACTCAGATCTTTGTTTCTGTGAGAGATCACACAGTATTATAAACTCTAATTCCATCCAGGTTGCTGGAAAATTCATGATTTTGTTCTTTTTTATGACCGTATACTATTCCATTGTGTATATGTACCACATTTTTTAAATCCAGTACTCTTTGGATGGACAGCATGGTTGGTTCCATCATCTTGCTATTGTGAACAATGCTGTGATAAACATATGTGCACAGGTATCTTTTTTATAGAGTGATTTGAGTTCTTCAGGGTACATTCCCAGTAGGGGGATTGTGGGGTCATATGGAAGGTTGATTTTTAGGGCTTTTAGGAATTGCCACGCTGATTTCCACAAGGCTGTACTAGTTTACACTCCTACCAAAGTGCAGAAGTGTTCCCTTTTTGCCATATCCTCTCCAGCATCTATTCTTTTTGAGTTATTGATAATGGCCATTCTGACTGGAGTTAGATGATATCTCAGTGTAGTTTTAATTAGCATCTCCTTGATGACTAGTGAGGTTGAACATTTCTTCATGTATCTGATGATTGCTTGTATGTCTTCTTTTGAGAAGTGTCTGTTCGTATCTTTTGTCCACTTTGTAATGGGGTTGTTTGGTTTTTTTTCTTTTCAGCATGCTTGAGTTCCTTGTAGATCCTTGATGTTAGACCTTTGTCAGACATGGAGTTGGCAAATACTTTTTCCTAGTCTGGGGGCTGTCTCCCTGCTCTCTTGATGGTTTCTTTGACTTTGCAGAAGCTTGTCAGTTTAATGACGTCCCACTTGTCTATCTTATCTCTTATGGCCTGTGCATTTCAGGTTTTGCTCAGGAATTGGATGCCAGTTTCAGATTCCATAAGGGTGTGTCCTGCAATTTCTAAAGTTCTTATGGTTTGAGGTTTTACATTTTGGTCTCTGATCCATTTAGAGTTAATTTTTGTGTATGGGGATAGGTAGGGGTCCTGTTTGAATCCTGGATATGGTCAGCCAGTTTTCCCAGCACCATTTATTGAATAGCTTCTCCTCTCCCCAGTGGTGGGAGGTGGAGGCTTTGTTGAAGATGAGTTGGTCAAGAAATTGAGGTTTTGCTTCTGGAATCTCAATTCTATTCCATGTTCTTGTACAAATTCCAGGATGCTTTGATTCTTGTGGCTTTATAGTGACATTTAAAGTCTGGTAGTGTGATACCTCCTGCTTTGTTTTTTTGTTTTTGTTTTTGTTTTTGCTGAGGATTGTTCTGGCTATTCTTAGTCGTTTGTGTTTCCATATGAATTGCTATATTGTTTTTTCTAGATCTCAGAAGAATGCTGCTGGTAATTTGATGGGTATTGTGTTAAACCTGTAGATTGCCTTAGGTAAGATGGACATCTTAAAAATGCTGATTCTTCCAATCTATGAGCATGGGATAATTTTCCATTTGTTTGTGTCATCTTTGATTTCTTTGAGCAGTGTTTTGTAGTTTTCATTGTAAAGGTCGTTCACATCTCTGGTTAAGAAGATGCCAAGGTATGTCACTTTTTTTTGTGGTTATTGTGAACGGGATTGTGTTTTTTATTTGGGTTTCTGTTTGTTTATTATTCGTGTAAAAAATGCAATTGTCTTTTGCACATTTATTTTATACCCTGAGACTTTGCCAAAGGCCTTTATCAGTGCAAGGAGGCTTTTGACAGATTCTCTTGGGTTTTCAAGGTATAGAATCATGTCATCTGCCAAGAGAGATAACTTGACTTCCTCTTTTCCTATTTGGATTCCCCTGATCACCTTCTGTTTTCTGATTACTCTTGCCAGGACTTCCAATACTATATTGAACAGGAGGGGTGAGAGTGGGCATCCTTGTCTTATTTCAGTTTTCAGGGGAAATGGTTCCAATTTTTGTCTTTTTAGGCATATGTTGGCTGTGGGTTTCTTATAGATGGCTTTTAGTATTTTGAGGTATGTTCCATGTATGCCTAAATGTTCGAGAATTTTTATCAAGAAGGGGTGCTGACTTTTATCAAAAGCTTTTTCTGCATCTAATGATATAATCATGTGGTTTTTGTTTTGACATCTGTTGATGTATTTAATTACATTTATGGTCTTAAGAATGTTGAACCAGCCTTGCATACCAGAGATGAGGCCTACTTGGTTAAGATGGATGATTTTTGAGATGCATTGTTGAATCCTGTTTGCTAGGATCTTGTTGAGAATTTTAGCATCTATGCTCATCAAAGATATTGGCCTGTAGTTCTCTTTCTTTGTTGGGTCTTTACCTGACTTGGGTATCAATGTGATGTTAGCTTCATAAAATGATTTGGGGAGAGTTCCATCTTTCTCAATTGCCTGGAATACTTTCAGTAGGATTGGTATCAGTTCCTCCTTAAATGTCTTATAGAATTTTGCTGGAAAGCCATCTGGTCATGAGCTGTTCTTTGTAGGTAGTTTTCTTATGACATAGTCAATTTCCTTGATTGTTATTGGTCTATTTAAGGTCTCAAATTCTTCTTGTTTCAACTTGGGGAAGTTGTGTGAGGTTGGAAAGTCCGCCATTTCCTTTAGGTTTTCAAGTTTGTTTCCATACACGTGTACATAGTAGTCTCTGATAATCTTGTGTATTTCTTCAGGGTCAGTTGTGACATCATCTTTTGTGTATTTCATTGTGTTTATTTTGACTTTTTCTCTCTTTTTCTTGGTCAGTCTAGCCAGGGGACCATCAATCTTGTTTATCCTTTCAAAGAACCAGCTTTTTGTTTCATTGATTTTTTTTTATATTCTATGTCCTGGATTTGGGCTTTTATTTTGGTAATCTGGATTCTACTACTGAAGTTAGGGTTTTAATGGTCTTGCTTTTCCAGCTTCCTTAGGTGACTTCTCAGGCTGTTAATTTGTGATCCTTCCATTTTCTTCATGCACGTTTGTAGATATGAATTCCCCTCTTACTACATCTTTCATGGCATTCCAGAGATTTTGGTAAGATGTTTCTTCATTTTCATTTTTTCCAGCTATCTTTTAATCTCTTTTTTGATTTCAACATTGACCCAGTAATTGTTTAGCATCATGCTATTTAGTTTCAATGTGTTTGTGGGTTTGGTGGGAACCTTGTAGGTGTTGATGTTTATTTTTATTCCACTGTGGTCTGAGAAGGTGCAGGGCAAAATTTCAATCTTTTGAAATTTGTTTATGCTTGATTTATGGGCCAAGGATGTAGTTGATCTTAGAGTACATTCATATGTTGATAAGTAGAATGTATACTCTGTGGTCGTTGGGTGGAGTGTTCAGTTGGTTTCAATTAAGTCCATTTGGTCAAGAGTTACATTGAGGTTCTGGATCTCACTGCTGATTTTTTGTTCTGATGATCTGTCTAGGGTTGTGAATGGGGTATTAAAATCCCCAGCTATGATAGAATTAAAGTCAATATCTTTTTTGAGTTTACCTAGAAACTGCTTTATGAAAGTTGGCACTTCTATGTCAGGTGCATATATGTTTAGGATGGATATTTCTTGTTGATGGATTGAACCTTTAATCATTATGTAGTGGCCTTTTGTAACTTTCTAGATTTTTGATAGCTTAAATGATATTTTGTCTGAGATTAAGATCGTGACTCCTTCTTTCTTTTGTGTTCCGTTTGCCTGTAATTTTGCTTCCCATCCTCTTACTTTGAGTCTGTGAGTGTCCTTTCTAGTGAGATGAGTCTCTTGAACGCAATATATTATTGCCTGGTGATATTTTATCCATTTTGCCATTTTATGTCTTTTCAGTAGTGCATTTAGTTCATTCACATTCAGGCTAATTATTGAAATGTGAGAGTTGATCCCTATCATGAGGTTCTTATAGAATTGTTGTTGTTCTTGTTTGTTTGTTGTCTTTCTTTTGGTTTTGGGGTTGGTTCATGTGTGTTTTTAATCTTTTTCCTGTACTCTTGTGAAGAACATTGCTGTTCTTTTTTCTTTTACTTCTGTGTGTAAATCTTTCTTACATGTTTCTTGTAGAGTTGGTCTGGTAGCAGCATAAGTTCTTAGAGATTAGATATCTGAGAAAGATTTTAATTCTCCCTCACTGATGGAGCTTAGCTTGGCTGGATAGGTTATCTTGGTTGAAATTTTTATCGTTGAGAACTCTGAAGATAGGGCTCCAAGCTCTCCTAGCCTGAGGGGTTTCTGTAAATAAATCCCGCTGCTATTCTAATTGGTCTTCCATGGTAGGTAATCTGTCCTTTTTCTCTTGCTGTCTTTAGGATTTTTTATTTTATACCTACTTTGTTTAGGCAAATTATTCTGTGTCTGGTAGTTAGTCTTCTAATTTGTTGTCTTGCAGGGGTTCTCTGAATCACTTGTGTTTGAATTTTTGCATCACTGATGAGATGAGGGAAGTTTTCTTGAATAATTTCATGGAATGTTGGTTCTAGGGTGTTCTCTGTCTCTCTTTCTTCCTCAGGAAGTCCAATTACTCTTAAGTTCAGTCTCTTGAAGTAATCACTCATCTCTTGAAGGTTTTCTTCTGTCTTTTTAAGCTTCTTTTCTATGTTTTTAACAGTTTGGGTTGGCTTATATTTTGGTCCTCAAGCTCTGAGATTCTTTCTTCTGCTTGGCTAATTCTGCTTTCCATGCTTATCATTTTGTTATTTATTTCATCCACAGTATTCTTTACTACTGTTATCTCAGTTATCAACTCCTTCCTAGTTTCCTCTTGTCTCCCTTCAATTCTTTTTAATCTCTCTATTAATGTCTTGATATCTGGGTTTGTAGTTTGAGACCAGTCATTCTGGGGATTCTTCATTGTTTGCATTCTGAAGTCTGTTTTCTCAGTGCCTGACCTCCCAGGCATCTGTGAGAGACCCATATTCTTCTTTTGGTTTTTCATTTGTGTAGCTTTTTCTCTTCCCCTTTTTCTCCCCTTCTTTAATTCTGTTTTTCAGGGAAGGTGGGGTTGCTTTTACTTCTTTTTATTCAACCTCTTGGTCTTCCTTATGAGGATCCTCTGGCTTTGTTCACTTTTGAGGCTGTACTATTGGTTGGAGGCTGTCCTTTTTGCACTTTTGAGATTTAATTGAGGGGGAAGCTGTGATTCAGAATCTATCTGCAGTTCCCAGTATCCACTGACAGGTGTATGGGCACCCTGGAACCCACTTCTCACCGCCTCACAATCTGTCCATGCAGTGGGGTTTAGATTTGCTCCCTGGAACAAAAGGGGGTAAGAAAAAGGAAAATAATGCAAGAAGGGGGTTCAAAAGGAAGTTGGAGAGAGAGAAGAGTAAGGGGAAAACAGACATACACACCAACTAACTAATGAAAAGAGACACAAGGCCAGAGAAGAGTAAAAAACAGACAAACAAAGAACATTCCTTAAAGCATATCAGTAATCACACAAAGACAGTCCCATAAAATCATGCTTTTTGATGTGTTCCTCCCCAATACAAAGGTAGTCTAAATCAAAAAGCAAACAAAAGCGAACAAAACAGTCAAAACAATAAAGTTAAAAATCAAAATAAGAAACCAGTCTAGTTCTGGGGTCTTTCCTGAGTGTCTAAAGTCTCTTCAGCTCTGATCTCTAACCCTTCCCCTTTGCTCTCATTGCAGGCAAACAGGGTTATTTATAGTTTGGGTCAGCTTCTTCGGCTTGCTGCATAACAGGTCTGACACACAGTACTGAATTGTCAGTGTCTGATTCAGTGTAGGGGAAGGGTTTCTGTCTCCTGTTTTGGCGAGGTTACCTTAGAAAACAAGGTGGAGGCTGTGCAGAGATGGGTGGGGCAATGCGAATCTCTGCCTGGAAAATGGCTGTGGTGGGTGGCTCCTCTTTCACAGATCCTTTCTCTCCACTCTTCTGGGCCCCAGCTGATCAGTTATAATGATGGACAAAGAAGGTGTGTGTCCAGCATCAGACACGGGGAATCGGTGCGGTAGCTGGGCACCACAGCTGGTGGGCCGCAGTGGCCTGGGGTGGAGGAGGGAGCTGGGAACTCTCAGGGGCTGGCGCTGAGAGCTGCAATGACAGCAACTGTTCAGCACCAGGGAGCCATTCAGCAGCAATCCCCTGCGGAGGCCACAGTGTGATGGAGTCAGTGTGCTGTGTGGGCCTGGTCACAGCAGCCAAGCTCCGTGTAGGCAGGGCGGGGGTGAATGGAACTGCCCTCCGGAGCCACCCCCTGTGGAGATCTTCAGTTCAGCTTGTCCCGTTGCCATCTTGCCCAGTGTCCTTCTACTTCTTTATGTTTTACGATTTGCTTCTCATGGTTTATTTTACAAAGCAATGATTTGCACTTAAAAATAAAAACTAGATGTCATGGAGACTTCTTTAATTTCTTGCCTTTGCTCAATTGAGCAGGATTACATTTTCTTGTAGAACAAATTTGAGTTAAGTCCATTGACTTCTCTAAGAAGAGACACGTTACATAGGTATATTTCGGATTATGCTTTCCAAATTATTTTAGAATAATGAATATTCAAAGTGTTTTTCTGTGGGTTTTTACTGCTCATTTACATCCGTTTACAATGCAGCATTCTTTCAAAATCTCAGTTGCTTTAAAACTGTAATATGCTTAAAAATATTTTTCCAAGTTATTTAATGTATATGTGTGACCACTAGAAATACTGAGTATGGATTTGTTATGAGAAATACTGACAACAAATCCATCTTAAATTTATAGTGCTTTTAGAAAATGAAAGTGCCTTATTTTTCAACTATGTTTTAAGCTTTTGAAACACCTGAGTGGCTTGACTTTGATATATTTTGATATCTACTGGTTCTTCTATCAAAAATGGTCTAAAAGTATAAAATTGATACTTTTAAAATGTAGTAACGCTTAAACTCTTTTTACAGATAATATGTATAGGTCATTCAAAAATCTTTAGATTTCTTTGGTTATTTTCTTAAAGGAAAAAAACAGAATAGTTCAAGAATTCTCTGGCATAACTATAGCACTAACTACAGAAAAGTAGGTTTTTTGTTTGCTATAATAAGTAATAATATTACTTGAGTCAGGTAAATTGTAATATGTAGCAATTGAATTTTCATAAAATTCCTATGTGTTAAAAATTAATTTTCGCATACAGTGCTATATTATTTTAACATAGCAAATACCCTGATTGTCCAGGTAAAAAACTGAGATTCTTATCCTAATTTCTTTGCATTAATTTTTCACCAGAAAAATCTCTTCATAAAATTAAACTCAGTTTATAAGACCTATAGTAGTAAAAGTATCCATCTTTTGACAGAGGCATGGTTTCAGAAGGGAATGGCAAGGGTGAATATCTATAGGGTTTTCAGTTCTGGCACAAATGATTTAAGGCATTCATTAAAAGGGGGATCTGACTATAATTAGGCAAAGTTTATGACATAAATAGTTTGGATTGGTGAATATACCCATGTGAAAACCTTGAAATTAGTCTTGATAAACCATTTGATAAATGAGCTATTGGCCCAGTTAGTAATCTGTTGCCTTGAAGGAAGAACAGTTTGCTCAGTGAAAATAGTTTATATAAAAATTATTAGACAAACAGTAAAGTTATTTTTTGGTTTGTAGAATTATCTTTGTGGGCAGAACTTTTCCAAAGGGATGAGAGTAGAAACTTGTCATGTTGACAAAAATAGTCTCAGTTTTCAGTGCATGGATGAAGATGGTCCTAATTCTTCACTCTTTTTCTTGTGGTCATGTTTTTAGCCTAAACGAGAAATGAGATCATTACTCCATAGGGATGTAATCAATTCATAGCAAGTTTCAGGGAGACATTCTTAGCTCCATAAGGATTACATTTTCTGTTCGTTGGATGAAAATGTAATGGCTCACTTAAAGAGATGTTGTTTGCATAATCATAGCAGAAAACTTTCTGAATAGCATATGTTTGAGTGCTATGTATAAATAGTAGGCAAAAATAATGATAATAATGTATTGTTCACCTTTGAAACAGGAAGCAAGAATACACAAATTAGACTAAAAGTGAATCTCATACCAAAGAATCTGTAAAATCTGGTGTTTGAGTATTGCTGAATTTTCTGTGATTTATTTCTTGAATATTTTAAAGAATATTAAAGATTGCAGAGATGTCTGTGATGTAAGTAAAACATTTCTTCTATAAGAAATTATGCTTTGCATATTGAGATACCAGGATTATTTGTCTAGAAGCTTTATTTAAAACTATAACTTTCCAGTGTCATGGCCCTCTCAAGTGAGGAGGTCTTGATGATGACTAGTTTGCCTACTATTCTCTGGAGCATATCATGTATATTCCTTAATATTGTGGGATCTTTTAAATTATGATATGAAAAAGCTTGAGAATATAAGTCACATTCAAACTTTCCTGTGAATAAAGTTCATATTCAATTTACTTTCTTATTTAATTAATCTAGCAATCATTTTCTCCATGAGAGAAAATCAATAGACCAAGGTAGACCCTGGTCATATCAGGGATTATTATTAAGAGAGACAATAATTTTTAAGATGGCAAATTCCTGTTTAATATTTGGTATAAGAGTCAATAGGCTTTTATGCTATCAATCCAACATCAGTCATTGTGGACCACCCAAGGGTCTGATTTTGGCCCATACATCTCTATAAGTTTGTTGAATCATATTGTCACATTTTAGGAACCACCCATTAAGAGTAGTAGTCTGAAATCAGATAATGAAATATTTTGCATAGAGATAAGCAGACAGAGCTAAAACAAGAGAACTGAGAGTTGAACAAAATGGTCCTCCTTACTTTAAGGTCTGTAAAAGTAAGAGTATTCTCAAATATACAGCATATGTTTCATAATTCTTTTCCAAGCTTTAGTTCTGTAAAATCTCAGTGATTAAAAAAAAAAAAAAGCTTCCACAGAAGGTTCCAAGTGTTGGGTAGATAAATATAGAAACCTTTTGTATGTATGATGTGATAGGGTGTTTAGATTTCTGTGTGATCTTTCATAGTATTTTCTGTCCAACATGCCTGTTAGTATTGACGCCAATACTAACAGTTGGGCTGTTTTCTTATTATTTAGTTTTAAATATTCTTTGTGTATTTTGAATAACAGTCTTATATCAACTGTGAATTTTGAAAATAGTTTCTCCCAGTCTGTGGCTTGTCTTCTCATTCTCTTTCATTGTCTTTTACAGAGTTTTTAATTTTAATGAAATCCAGTTAATCAAATATTTCTTTCATGGTGCATGCCATTGGTGTAATATCTAACAAGTCTTCACCATACTCAAAATCATCTAAATTTTCTCCATTGTTATTTTCTAAAAGTTTTGCAGTTTTTCATTTTATGTTTATGTCTATGACCCATCTTGAGTTAATTTTTATGAAGCATGCAAATTCTATGTCTAGATTCATTTTTCTTTTCCATAAAGATGTCCAACTGATCCAAAACCATTTATTAAAAGGCTATGTTTGCTCCATTATACGGCCTTTGTTTTAATGTCAAAGATATGTTTATTATATTTGTGTAGTCTATTTTGGTTTTGGTATTCTGTACCACCAATATATTGGTCTATTCTTTTATTAAAACCACATTCTTTTGATTATTGTATCTTTATAGCAAGTCCTGAAGTCAGTATTGTCTGTCATCCAATTATGTTCTTCAATATTTAGCTGGCTATTCTGGGTCTTTTGTCTCTCCCTATAAACTTTATATCTCTAAGATTTTTTTTAGTTCTATATACATTTTAATCATTTTTTAATTTTTGAAAAAGTAACATTGATAATTTGACAGAAATGGTTTGGAATCTGTAGATTGTTTGGGCAATATAATCTACATCTAAAAGTCATTTTGAAGATACTAATTCTTCCAATCCATGACCATGGAAGGCTTTTCCATTTGTTTTTGCTGTCTATTATTTTTTTTATTAGTGTTTTATGGTTCTCCTTGTAGAGATCTTTTGCCTTCTTGGTTGGATATATTTCCAGGTATTATATTTTCTTTGTGACTATTGCAAACAAGATTAAGTTATTGGTTTAGTTCTCACCTTGAATGTTCTTGGTGTACAAAAATGCTACTGATTTTTGTATGTTGATTCTCAAATAGTCAAAGCAATTCTAAGCAAAAAAGAACAAAGCCAGAGGTATCACATTACCCAACTTCAAATATACGACAAGACTTTAGTAACCATATCTACAGGATACTAGTACAAAAATAGACACAAAAATCAAAGAAACAGAACTGAGACCCCAGAAATAAAGCCACACACCTACAGACAATTGATCTTCAAAAGTTAACAAAAATAAATAATGAGAAAAGGACACTCTATTAAATTAATGATGCTGTGAAAACTGACTAGTCGTGTGCAGAAGAATGAAACTGGACCTTTACCTCTCATTATACACAAAAATTAACTCAGAATGGGTTAAAGACTTAAATGTAAGACTGAAAATTATAAAAATCTTTGAAATTTTTTTTTTTTAAACTAAGAAGCATCTTTTCTGGACATTAGCCTAGGCAAAACATTTATAAATTAACCTCAAAAGCAAATGCAACAAAAACAAAAATAGACAATGGGACTACTTAAACTAAAGAGCTTCTGCATAGCAAAAGAAGCAACCATCAGATTAAACAGAAAACCCTCCGAAAGGGAGGAAATCCTTGCAAACTATGCATTTAGCAAGGACTAATATACAGAATCTAAAAGGGACTTAAACAAATCAATAAGAGATAAAACAAATAACCTCATTAAGAAGTGGGCAATGGATATGAACAGATACCCTTCAAAAGAAGATATACAAGTAGCCAATGAACACATGAAAAAAAGCTCATCACTAATCATCAGATATTTATCTGCAAATTAAAACCACAAGGCAATGACATTTCACATCAGTTAGAATGGCTATTATTTTTTAGCAAAAAAATAAGATGTTGGTAAAGATGCATAGAAAAAGAATGTTTATACTCTGTTGGTGAGAATGTAAATTAGCTCAACCGTTATGGAAAACAATACAGAGATTTCTCAAAGAATCAAAAATAGAGCTACCATTTGACCCAGCAATCTTATTACTGACTATCTACCCAAAGAAAAATATTATTGTTCCAAAAAGGCACCTGTTGCATGTTTATTGCGACACTATTCACAATAGCAAAGTCATAGAATCAATCTAAGTGTCCATCAACAGTAGAGAGAATTTTAAAATGTTGTATATATAAACCAGGGAATACTACACAGTCATAAGAAAGAATAAAATCAAGTCTTTTGCAACAAGATGGATATGGCTGGAAGC